TCATTATAGGTTATTTAAAAAAAAAAAAATTAGCTGGGCATGCCTATAATCCCAGCTACTCTGGAGGCTAAGGCAGGAGAATTCCTTGAACCTGGGAGACGAAAGTTGCAGTGAGTTGAGATCACACCACTGCACTCCAGTCTGGGTGACAGATCAAGACTCCCTCTCAAACGTCCTTGGTGCTCACCGGGAGTCTGTCTCCATGCTTTGGAGCAGGGCAAGTCAGGGCCTGCCTGGACTGGCCATTAGGCCTGCCTAGCTTCGTATAGCCTGGGGCACGGGGGTCCCAGGGAGTGCTGCCACCTCCCCCACACTTTCATTCTGAGGCAGGGATTTGCTCGACATTTGCTGGCCTCTCTTCCCCAGCGGGAGGGCAAGAGCCACTAAGTATCCGCTGAAGAAAAGATCAGCGCTAGGGGGGTGTCCCCCACCCCATGCCTTTCCCCAGAAACGGGAGAAAGGGTAGCTGGTGGGTCCAGACTGGTTTCCCAAAGGACAGGAAGTAGCGCTAATAAAAATTGCAGCTGCCTGCCTGGAGTGTGGTGTCTTCATGGGATGGGAGTGGCGACCAGGGCACCCCACGACTGGGCTGGGCCGGACCTCGGTTGCAGGGCTGCGGCCAAGGGAGGAATGTGGGCGCAGCCGGAGGCTGGGGCCGAGGTTCCTCTGGCTCAGCGCCCAGTCCAGCCTCCCAACCTCAGCTGGGGTCCCCGGAGCTGGTTGCCAGGCTTCGGCTGCCTAGCACCTGGAAGCTGGGGCCCCAGTCCCGGGCGGCTCACGGCCCCGGAGGCCGAGTTGCTGCCTCTGAGGAAAAAAACCTTTGTGGCGCGGCTCTTCCCTTTTTCCGACTCACACTCCCGGGGCCCTCAGTCCCATCCTAGCGCCAGACCCCACCCGCTCTGGGGAGAAGCGGAGCTGCGAGCTCTCTCCCCCAGGGAAAAGAAAACCCCCGCTCCCGTGGGAGAGCGAGACCGGCAGTCACCAGACCCGAAAGCCTTGCACTCGGGGGTGGGCGGGGCCGCGCGGACGCGCATTAGGACCGCGCGGCCGCTGCCCCGCCCTCTCTTCCGGCGGGCGGGCTCCAGAGCCGGGCCCTGGCCGCGGCCGCCAGTCGGCGCCGCCCGGAGCCCGGAGCGCGGCTCCAGCGAGGCGCGGGCTGTGGGGCCGCCGCGTGCCCGGCCCCGCTCGCCCGTGCCGGCCACTTGCCCGCCATGCCCGGCTTCGACTACAAATTCCTGGAGAAGCCCAAGCGACGGCTGCTGTGCCCACTGTGCGGGAAGCCCATGCGCGAGCCTGTGCAGGTTTCCACCTGCGGCCACCGCTTCTGCGACACCTGCCTGCAGGAGTTTCTCAGGTGCGGACCCGGGAACCGGAGCCGGAGCTGGAGCCGGCGGGAGCGGGGCGGGGGCGCCGCCTGGGGAGGGGCTCGAGTTCAGGGTACGCCGGGTCTTTGTCTACGCCGCGACCCTGTGACCTCAGGGGCGCCCCGTGACGTCACAGGGAAGGGAGCGGTGACGTCAAGCCCCGAGGGAGGACCCCCGAAGGAGGACCCCCGCAGGAATCCGAGGGGTCTGGGTCCACCTGCCCGGCCCTGGGCGGAAGACCTCGACGCCTTCCCGCGGGGCGGGGAGGGGACGAGGCCCTTCCCCCTCACCTGAGAGCCGGCGCGGCCTCAGCTTTGAACTTTGAATCTTGCGGGAAGAGGACAGAACCCGCTCCGGCGCGGCACTTTGAGCCGCCGGAGCTTTCCCCCATCTGACCTCTCCCGATTCTTCGAACGTTCAGAGAACGGAGCTATTGTTCTCCCATTTCACAGATGAGGAAACGAGATTCAAAGAAAGGCTGCGACTTGCCCAGGGTCACACAGTTACTTAAAGGCTTAACCGGGATTTAAGCTTGGGCTGCTGTGAGCACACAATGGAGGAAGGACTGAATCCTGTCCCGAACCCGGACCCCTCTAGGCGGCTCCCTTCTCTCGCCGGGGCTGGAGTAGGGCGGGTGGGCCATAAATCGTGAAGGAGGGGGTCGCACTCGTTGTTACTGAACTTCCGCTGCCCTCTCAGGTCAGCCCTTGGCTCTTGGGCATCCATCAAGTTTCTGGGCGCCCTGTGGTGTCTAGAATCTCCTGGCCATGCAGGGAACCTTTCAGGCCCGGGTGTGGAAGGCAGGGTGAAGGAGCCCCGACTCCTGCGGAGGTCATGTCCCAGAGCGCCAGGGGAGGCAGGGTCGGCCACTGCCTGGCTGTTTGCGGAGCCGAGGGGACCGAGGGCACGGCAGGGAGAGCACCTCTGGGGCTCCTGCCTTAAGTGCTCTCTCTCTCCGTACCTCCCTCCCTTGCTCGGTCCTCCGCAGCTCCTACTGGCGGAAATCTCAGCAAGCCCTTTGTTTTCTGTTCCCCACAGCCGGGGCCGGCTCCTGCCCTCACATATGCTCCCGCACAAGCTGCAGGACTGCCCCCTCCTCCCTGGCCTCTCCCTCTCTCCCCCCCGCCCCCCGGGCAGTGTACACATTTACACTCCTACAGACACAGTCCCATTGTCTCCGCCAGGGCTCTTCCCCTGCCCTCTGGGTTCCAGATGAGGCCAGCTGAGCCCCCCTACCCCTCGACAGCTGACCCACCCTGACTGCCTCGGGGAAGGAACGAGGGAGGGGGCTGGCAGGCACGATTCTTTCTACCACTTTCTTGGCCCCTCTCTGCCCCTCCCCCTCCCGGAAATCCCCTCTTCCTCTCCCACTCCCACAGCCCCTGCCCCCATCCTGTCTTCTTCCCTGGGCCTGGGCCTCCACTGCACATCCTGGAGCAGCCTCTGCCCTGCCTCTCCCCCCATCCCCCAGAGCCTGAGCTGTGTTGCTGAGGCTTCTGAAGGGGAGAGGTGGTTGGGCGGGCACTACTACTCACCCTCACCCGCCACGGAACAAGCACAAGTGAGGGTGTCCACAGTCCTGGCTGGGCCCCAAGCTGCAGGCTACGCTTCTGCCTGAAGCCTAGGGACTTGCCTCCATTCCCTCCCTGTCTCCAAAACCACTAAGTCAGCACATTCTTGAAGCAGCCAAGTAGACCCCTCTCCCCCTGGGCCCACCCCTCTTTCCCCGCTCCTTCCTGAGCTGTTAGGTTGGCCCAGGAAGGCTGGTTGCCCTGTGGGCAGACACACCCCTTCAGTGCCTGGCTGCTTGTATTGTCCTTGGCATTGGTAGTGGGGTAGTGGTAGTGGGGTCAAGGGGAGGAGGTGGGTGCTAGAAATCCTTGGAGCAGTTGGAGCCTGGACTGCCCAGACCCTGGAGAGTGCCTCTAGAACTAGACTGCTGTTTGGGCTCTGCTTCTGCCTTGCTCCCTGCCTGCCTCCCACCTACCTGACTCAGACCTGCCAGGAATGCCCTGCCCCAGGGCCTTCAGTCCTGCTGGATGAGCTCTTGCTCTGCCTCAGCCCTGCCAGGCATGTGTGACTGGTCGTGGCTGGGGTCAGCAAGGGCGTGTTGATAGAAAGAAGCATGCTAACAGGCTCCTTGGGTGCTGACAGCCAGGTGGGAATCGGTGCAGGAAAAGGCGGGCAGCTTGCAGGAGGGGAGTGTCACCAGGCTTCAGAAGCCCACTGAGCAGTGCCCAGAGTCTTAGCGGTGCTTGCCTGGACATTTTCCCTTGCCCTAGCTTCTCTTCCTGTGTGTGTGGTTTAGTAGAGCCTGTTAGAGCTGTGGAGTCAGACACACATAGCCAGGTGCTACTTCACCTGTAAGCTGTTTCACCTGTAAAATGGGGGCATTCCACCCTTTCGCAGAGGCAGGTGGCAAGGGCCGGGTGGGAGTGTAAACAAGTGCCAGGGAGCATGCCTTTCCTCCCTTTTCCCTTTTCCCATGGGAGACACACCCTTAAAGGAGCAGGGCTGGGTGAGGTGGCCGCAAGCTGACATTTGCCCTGGTTCTTGGCAGGACACCTTCCTGGGGACTGGGCAGCCCTGGCAGGCCCTTAATCTCTGCCCATCCCTGTTCCCCCTCCCAATCAGCTTTCAGCCCAGCCAATGAAAACTAACCTGGGGGGAGGGGGTGACTGTGCAACCTGTTCTTTCCCAGTCCAGCTGCCATCCTGGGGGAGGGGGTGCCAGCTGCCACCTGTTGGCCAAGTCCTGACTGAGGCAGCTGACTGTGCCTCTGCTAGGCCCAGACCCCCCTTCCCAGGATAGGGGCTAGGGTCTTCTGGGATCCTGGGGAAGTGGAGCCCCTAGGGCCTTTGCTTGCCCTTTTGTCTCACCTGGGCTGGTTGGGAACCAGTCTGGTGAGGGAAGGAGGCTGCCCTGGTGGAAGGGGTGGAGCCAGGCCTCCCTTTCCCCTAATGTGAAGCCTTGACCCTGCCCCTCCCCCCTTTCAGCGAAGGAGTCTTCAAGTGCCCTGAGGACCAGCTTCCTCTGGACTATGCCAAGGTGAGTCCACACAGCCAGGAAGAAGGCCAAGCACAGTCTGTTGCCCTTGGAGGCTGGAGGTGCTGGCAGCCAGTGGGCTCAGGGCCAATGTCAACCAAGAGCCTGGGGATGGTGCGCCCCTACAAAGGTAGCCTGTTCCCTCCCACCAGGCCAGTTTGCAAACGAGGGCCCTGTTTGCCCTGGAGGGCAGGCACAATGCCCAGCCTGTAGGGGTGCACAGAGCTGCTCTGTGCCCGAAAGAAGTGCTCCCTCCCCTTCCGGTGGCAGGTCAGACCTGTGGCTGAGGGCCAGTATCCCTCCACCAGGGGGAAGGAAGCAGAGCCCGGGGGACAGCCTGGGATTGAGCAGGCTGATTGGCTCCCTCTTCAAAGGAAGCGTCCTGTGCAGGCATGTTAGGACCCAGCATCAGAGCAGACGCTGCCTGCTGTGCCCTGCATCCCTGGACACAGAGGGGCAAAGAGCCCGAGAGAGGCTGTTACAGGC